TTAATATATAATAAGATCTTGAAAATCAACATGTTAATAATGATAAAGTGTCTGAGATTTTATCTGTTTGCAAGTTAGCCTACACAGTTTCGTGACTGCTTGCAGAAGATACAAGACTATTGGGTCAGAGACAAAGAACTTTATTTGTAACATATCACAGCATGAGCAGCATATGTGTGTCAGTTCCCCCTTGCCTCCCATGCCCATGGGGGTGAGGCTGAGGCCCAGGTAGATGCTGCACACACAGCACATTCACTTCACACCTGAAGAACTTCATCTTAGCAAATCCAAATCTTTTTAAAAGGGGAGTAAGCAAGCCTTCTTGACCTTTGCTTCAGAGGGAAGCATTTTATATTCATTATAGTGGATGGCAAACAAAGCTGTCATAGGAAGGCACTGTCTGTATTCAAGGCTGTCCACTGTACAAACATCCTTGGAAAGATGGTCTGGAACAAAAAGGCACTTGGTGCCTCTGAAAGATGTACCGAAACATGAGACCCATGGAGAGTTGTCTCCTTCAATAAGACCCATTAGAAATCTGGGCAAAGGACATGAGAAGAAAAATACACAAATAACTAATAAACGTGAAAAATGTTTAACTCTATTCACAATTAAAGACATACAAATTCAGACATTACTGAGATACTATTTTTCACCAGTCAGAAAAGCAAACATCAGAAAGGTTGCACCCAGTGCTTGCTTTGAGGTCGTTATATGGAGAAGCAGCCACTCTTTCATTAATATTTGTGCTGATAAATATACTTGATTTTTTCTTTTATTTCCCCTCTTTACCTATCACCTTATAGATATACTATTAAGAAAATAAAGCAAGGTATCAAAATGTGTGACGATGTTTCCACTGTGTAAAACAAGATGTGTGTGCATACATGTGCGTGCTTTTATGTGAGTAGAACATTCCTGGAAGGATACAAAAGGAATTGCTAACATGCTTTACCTCTGGGGAAAGGAACTAGGGATCAGAAGAGGAAGAAAAGCTTTTCATTCACCCTTTGTATGGTTTGAATTTTCTACCATGTGCATATATTACTTTTTCAAAAACAGAATTTTAAAAAGTTGATAAATTCACAAAAGCTTAAAGCAGCGAAACTTGAATAAGACCACACATACACAAGAGGCATGATCCTAAAGGTCCCTACAAAGAGGAACTTTTTTCAGGCAGGGAAGAATTTACTTTCAAATTAAGAATTTTTCTACTTTGTTTACTTTTTAATGGAAAAACTCGGGTTTTTTAAATTATTTTTTGTTTTCTTTTTAAGTTCATAGGTTTTAAAGTCAGATGGACCAAGGTTCAAATCCCAATTGTCCATTTGGTAGACCGTGGGCAAACTACTCAACCCCTGAAGGGTTACTTGCCTAACATTTAGAGAGGCTAAGATCATTCACATAGTAAATGGCAGAATTTCAACATAGGTCCATCTAACTGCAAAACCCAGTGCTTACTTAGTGCTAATCCACTGATAACACGTAGCAGAAGTGACCCATTTAACAGAGTGTATTAGTCTCCTGGGCTGCCATAACAAAATACCACAGACTGGGCAGCTTAAACAACAGAAATTTATTTCTCATAGTTCCCCTGGAGACTGGAAGTCCAAGATCAAGGTGCCAACAGGGCCAGTTGGTGAGGCCTCTCTCCTCAGCTTGCACACAGCGCCTTCTCACTGCACCCCTTACATGGCTGTTTCTTTGTGCACATGCTTGGAGGGGGTTGGAGAGAGAGCTCTGCTGTCTCTTCCTCTTCTATAATGACACCAGTCTTATCAGAGTAGGGCCCTACCCTTAGGACCTCATTTAACCCTCATTACCTCTTTATAAGCTCTATCTCCAATTACAGTCACATTGAGGGTGAGGGCTGTAACGTGAATTTGGAGGGCACACAATTCATTCCGTAACATGGGGCCATCCTGAAATCTGCACTGCACCACTCCCAGAGGCCCGTTCACACGTGGACAGTCTGCATAGCTGTGCATAGTGGCCCTGCCAGGTACTCTCTTGTGATTCCACCTAATCTCTAAACCTATAATTCTGTTGTTACTCTGTGTCTCAGACTTTTAATGAACTTTCATAGAGAGATCTAAGTTCATAAGCTTTATGATAGACTCACAGTTATAGTCATAAGATTATTTAATGTATTTACAAAATTGTAATAAAAACTCTTTATGTTATTAGAGCATTAGTTTGGATGAGTTCAAGTCATTTTGCCATTTTACCACCCACTTGGAAGATTTTGCTATTGCCATGCAAATGTTTAGTTTAGCTCATCGCCCTGTCAGACTAGGTAAGTTATATGAATCATTTAATTTTTATTATCTATAAACAATTTCACTGTATTCTTCAACTAGATGATACCAATCAAGGAGCCTATTATCAGTAAAATAATTGATTGGCCTTTTAATTCAATGTGGTTATTCTAGATTTATAACACAACAGTCCTATTTGACAGTTATTTTATTGGCTTTTATTTTTCTCATTTTCCTAAAAAGAAGAAGGAATTATTTAAATATATGTGTTTAAATCATTGATGAAAATAGCTTACCTATCTTGTGACTACTCGTGACATTTCTCAATCAAATTTATGATTTGAATACATTCTTGATGGGTATTTTTGTTTTTGTTTTACTTCCCAAATAATAAAAGTTTTGGCATGTTTTTACTTCTCAAATAATGAAAATTTAGGTTAATTCCACTTAGACTATTTCATGTGGTTGATGAGTTTTATGTGTATTTTTTTTCTTAGCGGAGTTTAAGAGAGCTGTGAAAGTAGCAACAGGGCAGGAGCTCTCAAACAATATTTTGGACACTGTCTTCAAGATCTTTGATTTGGATGGTGATGAGTGTCTCAGTCATGAAGAGTTCGTTGGGGTGTTAAAAAACAGGATGCATCGAGGTTTATGGGTAACAGATTTTGAGTTTTTAAATGTTTACATGTAATTAACTGAATGGTATTAAACCTAGAATTTGGGCAAATGAGCAGA